GCAGTCACCTATTCAAGTATTCACTAAGAAGAGGCCTAAAACACTGGCTTGTTTTCTACATGGAAGCTCTATTTTGTTTTGTCTGATTTTGGTGGTAGGAGGGGGCTGAGAAAGTCAGCATAGTGCTGTCCACAATGAGCTGTGCTAGCATAAGCAGTTTCAAGTTCTCACTTCTCATGTTCTGTTTCCCTCCTTTGATACTGCTGGACCTCCATTACAGATTTCCTTGCCCATTCTCACTTATTCCACAGTTCCAAGGCGAGAGAATGGAGGGCCACAGCCTTTTCTTTGTTTTGGGAAAAGAGACTGCAGCTTCCTTGAAGTGAGGGAGTTTGTCTCATACAGCATATACACCTTCTATACTGGGTTACCGCTACACTTCTATGTAGCAATCATTAAATCTACCTCAAGTTATCTCACACTTATTTTATAACATTTAGCAAGTAACCTGTGCTGACTCTGTTTCTTTACCTGTTTCATTTTTATTTCAACCTGGCTTTCAACCCTACCTCCTCCAGATCCTCCTCTTGCTGCAGGACCTCCTATGTGCCACATCCAGTGGACACTGAAATTCTCTGTGGCACGGCATGCTGTCCTCATCCCTTCCCTCAACTCCGTGATGCCACGCTCGCCTGGAGCATTCTTGGTAGTCCCCAGAATTCAAATTTACCCTCCTTTCTCATCTCACCGTATGCTTTCTCCAAATGAGTTCAACCTTACCGAAGGTTTTGACTATACTCCCAATCTACCCTTCTAGCCCTCACTCCTCTCCTCAGGCCTGGTCCTGCGACTCTAACTGCACCACTCGCCAGCACACCACCAGGCAGCCTCTCAGGCACACACAAACTTAATCTGTGATTTAGTCTTCACCCTCCCAATCTGGCCCCTCCTCTGAATTCCCTGTCATAGTTCATGACACTGTTGTTTGCCCAGTTGTCCAAGAGAACATCGATTCATTTATAATCCATGGTGTCATGAAAATTTATCTTTTAAAAGTGTTAAACAATGAGCACTTACACTCTCAAGTAAAGATCTCCATTGCCCGACTGCTGTCTGTTAGCAGGAGATGTGCTACTGTCTTGAGGACTGTAGCCTCCTTCCACTGGATCACTCCCTCCAGCCCTAAGCCACTCTTATGCTTTAGCCGCAGGGGACTACAGACAGGGTGAGACCTTTCACATCTCTTGCTTACAGATGCTGCTGCTTCTGCTTAAAGCAGTCGTTCTCAACAGGGGGCAATTTTGCACCTTAGGGGACATTTGGCAATGTCTAGAGACTTGTTTTGATTGTCACAGTGGGGGAGAAGGGTGTGATGCTAAATCTCTCAGGGCACACAAGACACTACAGAGTGCTATCCTGCCCAAAATGTCAATAGTGCTGAGACTGAGTGTACCTGCCCAGAATACCCTTCTTAATTTCTCTGCCCGGTGAACTCCAGTTCACTTATCAAGATGCAGCTCAGATGTCACCGCCTCTGTGAAGCCTTTTGCTACTAACCAAGTCCTCTCCAGAGAAATACTGCCACTATCTCTCTCACTTTCTCGTACACACTTCTATTCTAGCACATCACACAACACCGAATTTCTTTTTGCTTACCGGTGTTTCTTATTACTAGAGCTCCTATTACTAGAAGCACCCCTGAATAGACACTGTATTTTACTCATCTTTTATTCCCAGCGCTTGGGACAGTGCCTGGAACTCAAATGTGTGCTGGATGAATGAATTAAAGAAGACACATCTACAGAGAATACAAAGTATTTCCAAGCAAACAGCTCAGCTCTCTGAGCCTCTCTGAAATTAATGATTCCTCAGTCCTAAGAAATATAGATATATATACACACACACATACAAGTATATATTTTTTCATCAAATTTCTAAAACTGGTCATTAACATTGTTGCATCAGTTTCTGAGTTAATATTTATAAATTACATTGGTTATTATGGGAAAGATTAGGTGCTGTTCAAAATAAATTTAACCTAAAGTCTTTCAATAGTCTGCTAAATTGAATAAAATGAAGACTGGGAAAATAATGGAACATTAAAAGATGCACCATATATTTTAAACTTTTATTTTAGGAAGAACTAAATAAAGAAAAGCCTGAAATATATAATCTTCAGATTAGTGTTAAAGGCTTTGAAATCATTGAGACATAAATGTTTTAAAGTTCTATCACACTAGGCTTAAGCAATTTACCTACCTAGGATTAAGTAACGGATAATAAACAAAGATTTTTATGATAAAAAGAAAAAATATAAAAGACATTTCTAATAAAAACATGCATATGAGAGAAGAAAAGATAAGTATAAGCTTATGCAAAGTGCTGAGATGCATTAATAATAATTAGACTATAATAAAAGGAAAATGGAATCTGAGCCTTCAAACAACATAGGAGATTCAGGGAACAACAGATGGGGAAAAATAAAATAACAGAATAAAGTAACTACTATACAGGTTTCAGAAATCTGGACAGTAGTGATTTTTGTTAACAGCACGTTAGCTCTTTAACCAATTTCTGAAAAAATACTATAAAATTTCAAATATTTATTTCCAGATAGAAAGCCATTACACAGTCCTTATAAAAGTAAGAATGTATTTCGAAATGCACATATAATAAGCATATGCCAGTTATTGTTATATTCTTTGCTATGCCTGAAATAAACATTATCGGGCAGATGGCAAACTCTCATCTTCATTCTAATTGGTAAACAAAGAACAGAGCCTGACAGGTAAAAGCTCTCACCAGATTTAAAAAATCAGTCATTAATGGCCTGCTGAAGGTAGAGGGCTAGAAATGCCATTTTATGTACTAGAGACTGATAGCTAAACACATAGGAACGTGTAGCCCTCTCTGTGCCTTAGAAACCAGGGTCTCTGACCAAAGCAGTGATTTAATTTCACGGCTGCCCAGTAGAGATAGCTGACATTACTAAATGCTACTCTAATATCAACTTGTTAAATGTGAATCCAGACTCAGCATATCAGAATACTAACCCAGACTAACTGGAGTCATGGGAAATATTTTTGGAGCTGTTTATTTATAAATGAGTTACAATATACCACTATAATTAGATTAATATATAATTATTGATAAGCACAGGATTATTTCTAAAACCCATTATTGTTGCCACTGATAGGTTTATAAAAAGCAACACTAGGATCTTCCTCACAAGTCTTTAATTTACTACTTATCAATTAGACCAATTTAGATCTAGTATAAATTGAATTTAACTGTCATTATAGTATTTATAATATTTTTATAAAGAGAAGTTGCCGAATAAACATTGAAAGGAGGACAATTTAAAGCTCTCCAGCAAACTTCACGCTTCTGAACTATTCTACCAAAAAATAGAATCTGCACAAAGTCAGTTATTCTGATTGTCCCCCAAAAATGTAAGTTAGCTTACCTAAGTATAAATAAAACAAAAATGTATATTTTTAGCAACACAAAAGGCACTTAATACACATTTCATTAAAAATACATTTAAAATACCCTTTTCAAAATCATCAACAACAACAAACTATAGTATTACCACAAAATCAACTATTTTAAGGATATTTCTATGAATATTTCTAAGTTAATTACTCCTTTCAGGTGAATTGTTTCATTGAGTGTAAAATAAATATACAAGTAACATTAATGCAATTGGCAAACTGTTAATATTTCTTCAGAGTGTCATTTTAGTTCTTTCTTCTGGGTAAAAAACAGTTAACTGGATTATAATCTCCTAAAAGCTAGTTTTAGAAAAGTTTCCTTGAGTGGAATTAAATATTCTAAAACATAGATTGGAATTTGAAAGTGGATCTTTTTTTCATCCTCAGTAAACTAGTTGCTTATATTAACATCTGAGCATTACTAACAATGGTTGTATTTACCAGATTTCAAGAGAAAGAAAATAAAGTAGCAATTACTTAAGACTTTATTTATCTAAAGATACTTGTCCAGGAGTTTGCAAAAATATTTAATATAGATATTGGGTATTATCAAAACACAAACAAATAGATTTTTATTCCCCAAATTATTATGTATGGTCATTTAGAATTGGTTTAGTTAGAAAATTTTTAAAACTCCCTGGGATATGGCAAGAGGTTCCAAAATAGAAATTTAAAAACTCTATTTCAGCTCAAAACATTTTAAATGCCTTGGAAAGCCCAAATAACATATATATATATATATATATCCTCTTGCCTACAAGTCCTTAAATTACTTATACACAAAGCAAAATGACCAAAAAACAAATAAGGTAAATAGAAAATTAAGGGAAATGCCTAGACATTTAAACCAAATTCAAAAATATGAAACTTAGAATTCAATATTGTTGGAAGAATCAGTGACATTTTAGAAGGAAGTATTAACTGGTGGTTAGAGAAAAATAGGGTGGAAACAAAATTCCTGTGGTGAAGGGTATATACAAATGCAAAGGCCATGTATTTTCCTTCTGCTTAAAACATGCAGCATAATAGTTTTTATAAATGATCTTTTTAAATACATGTATTTCAGAGATGGATTTCCTCTATGCTCATTTATAACAAAATCTTCACATTTTGATTTTTTTTGTTTAATATTTTAAACAGTGTTCTATATTTTACTTCCTTTCATAATTATTAAGGAGAGTAAATAATTGTTTTTGAAAATAACAATAGAATAATGGAGTTACGTACTAACATACTATGCCACTGAGAAAAATATATACCAAGATAAAATGCTGTGAAATAGATTGTTATTCAAAGTTGTTTTTACACCATAGAAAAGGTTTATGGTTTAAATCACTTACTAAAGTTTTTTTGTTTTTTTTAAGACTATGTATTTTGTACATGAGTAAAACAACTAATAGAGTGAAAAACCATTGGGGGATTTTTCAGACCCATAAAGTGAAAACACTTACTAGCTAAGGACCAAGAAACTATATAAAACTGCTTAGTTATACTAAATGTTAATCAAATATTATATTAAGCTATTCTATTATAAATTAACATTTACCAAGACCAAAGTAAACTTACCTTACAGGAATTAGATAGTTCATTTGTGAAATCTCTGTTGCTGTCTCTTGATAAATTATCAATTTTACCTTCATTTCTGGATGCAAACTTTATGAGTAATTGAGATGGTCCCCCCTTAGAACAATTGTGCTTAAGGCTGGATAAACAGGAAATATTTGGGTAAGTTCCTCCCAATGAAATACTTCTTTGTAAAATAGCGTGGTTTTTGTTCATCTGTGAATTTGGTCTTTCCAACTCTCTATCGATATTTACTTGATAATCTACGTTGTGGGAGGATGGTAAGCATGCAGATGTCCTCGGCATGAGCTTAAAATACTCTGACTCAGAATTAAGTTTAATTTCTGACATCTCTGGTTTACAATCACCATTTGTTTCACAATCTAACATAGTGGCTTTCTGTTGGGTGAAATGCACTGACACGCAAGAATATCCTTCAGATGACTTCTCACTAACAGTCTGTCTCGGACTAGTATTTGAAATAACAATTTTCTTGTGCAATGAGCCCTTCACATGAAGTGGCCGTATGTCTCTGACGTCTCCAGGAGTACAAACTGTTTTAGATAATCGAAGTCCATTGACAGCTGTTGAAAGAAACCCCTTAGCACTCGTACCATCTTCATTATGTGCGATTTCACTTGGAGAAATAATAAACTGGTGTGAAGTCTGATAGGATCCTTTGCTTGGAAGAGGACCTGTACTTGTGGGAGAAGTTGGTGGGGTATTTGAAGGACTCCTAGGAAAAATGACTAAGGATGAGCAACGTTTCAGTGGAATTTTTGCATTCCTGCTCACTGGCAATGTCATAATCTCTAATCCATGCTCCAAGTCATTCTGGACAAAGGGAACTGTACTTGTACTTCTTGAAAAAAATTCACATGGGGTAGAATTCCTGTTTGGCACATTTCTATTGGACGTGCTGTCAGAAGATAAATTTCCACCCAAAAAAGCATCATCACTTGGTGGAAAAACATAACCACTGCTATCACTGATCACACTGTTAGTGTAAGAACCTCCACTTGTGATACTTGCACATGACCCATAATCACTACCGTTGCTGCTGTAAGATCCATTATCACTGGTTGAAAAGTTACTAAGGCTACCACTACAAATGGCAGCACTGCTTAAAAGGTTACCATCATTCACAGCATTCAGTTCATTATCGACCCCAGCACTGCTGCAAATGCCATCCTTCAAGACACAAGTAAATGAAGCATCATCACCGTCAGCTAAGACATTGCTAGACTGAAGACATCCACCGTACCTTGTTGGCTGTAGCGAAATCTGGAGACAGCTGCTCTTTTTATTAACATTGTCAGATGACACAACAGATGATCTTTCCTGAGGCTTCACGTTTTCCTTTATTAACGGAGCTGGTGTAGTCTGTCTGGGAGTCAGCTTCATTTGAACAACATTAGATGTTGAAATCCGTGTTGGTCTTTTGAAGCACATGTGAACATGGCTATCCAAATCATCTCCGGAGGTTTCTGACAAAGGGTAAGTATTGCTTCTTCTGGCTGCAAAGTGCAATCGTAAGCTTTGTGCCATTTGTTCTCATTTCCAAACATGTTAAGGGCTGAAAGTCATAACAAAGATCTCTGTCGGTAGACAAGCTAGAAGCAGCTGCACTGCATCGAAAGAAAAAATCATTTATGGTGCCTAAAAAAGCTATTAAGTAGTAGTCTTTATCCCAAGTAAAAATTAGATATCGGATATCATAGAAAGAAAAAGACGACCCATTCCTGAGACTGGTATTTCCAAAATGTCTTGAATCGCTTGTAGTCCAAATGCCTTCACTTACAAAGCACTTGATTTCCAGCGACCTTTAAGCTGAGCTCAGCTGCAGCACACTGACTCAAACACAGCCAACCTTGTTTCAATTATACCTTCTCCAATTTGCATGAATGAGTAACACAAGAACAACAATCTTCTAGCATTTCAAGTTGAAACAGTATTTTTTCACTCCAGCTCTACTAAATGAACATTTAACTATGTGAATCACAGTGCCTATACTTTCTCTAGCTGAGTTTGACCACTAATATTTTTACCCATAGGTATAGAATTACAGGAAGTTGGTAAGAACGAAACCCCATGTATTTGAGTATCAAATCAAAGATTGAATTTCCTAATAGTAGCCATACTAGGAATCTGGTCAAGTTAGTTAATATAGGAAGGAATCTGGAGTGTTAAGTTTTTTTTTTTAATGAGTGAATTCAAACAGTTGTGTAAATCTGGAAATGTCAAAACTTTGAGGTGAATTAAAACGTTAGCACCAAATAAAATAGATAAATATCTTAGCTTCCAAAGTACAGTTATAAAAAGTGAAAGCTTACGGACAGAACTACAAAATTAGCCTGGTGATTCTATTGCAAAAATTGAGCATAGGTCTGAGAATTAAAAAAAAAAAAAAAGTTTAAGAGAAGCTGTCACCAAGCATTTTCTCCTGTAATTTTAAGGCCTTTTCCAGCCAAGTAGTACAGTTTTTAAATGATGCCATTTATATTTTGACTATTAAAACTCTGCCAAGAAATAGCCTAAGCAAACATTCCACTAAAAATATATGCAGATTAGACAAAAAACTATACCCTAATATAGTTTTAACACACAGGATATTTTATTCCACTGTCTCTGCAATTCATACACTTACGAGGGTGTTGTGGTAAGTAAAGAAGTCTAAAAAGGATTTAACACATCAAATAAACATATCTCAATGCCAATTCTGTTCTGAAAAACTCTAGGAGCTCTTTGCTGGCCCCTACTGGCGCTTTGAAACAATCCATCTAGCTGTTTGATACGTATAAAGAAATACAAACCATACTGCATATTTCTTTATATAAACAAAGTTCATACTTGTTTACATTTTTGAGTACCAGCACTGCCCTAGCGGTGGAATTACTTAACTAGCGCTGATAAAGCTCCCACAGTAGAGAACAGTAGACTGTTTGTCCTTTTAGAGGTTGTGATTTTGTATATCTATATTTTTCTGCTTTGTATTTACTTAACCTTTACTTTATTTTCAGTTTACTAGGCCATAAAACTTTAATATTTTAATTTCTCTCCCAAATGTCATAGACCAAGGTTGGTATTCTATTTGAAAGAAACAAATTTATTTTTAAATAATACTCTAGGGTATATTTAAACCCCTTACCTGAATTTTATAGCTGGAACTTGGTAATAAATATATACTGGCTCATTCATAGGTAAGTAAAAGGTAAAATAGTTCAGTTGTTTACACCACATGGTACTACACCCAAGTTGTATTTTTCTAAGTTTTTTTTTCCCTAAGTAAAAGCAAATATGTAAAACATCTACTCATACTTTGTTTAAAAAATAAAACTGCTTAAGATAGATCTGTTTTCAATCACAATTTTCTAAATAGTATTTTCATCAGTGAAGACATCAAAATAGCAATTTTATAGCAATTTTAATAGGACCTTATTAAATTATATTCAACTAGAATGACATAGGACTCTATTTTAGAATGTGTACAAAATTAGGGTTTTGGTTTTGTATAACCTATCTCCTTTATGATTTTTCCGACTTTAGTAAATATTCCCTTAACCATTCTTTTTCTTTGAAGGAGGAAGAGTCCTTATCATTTTACTTTGCCTTCTAAAGCCTTGAGCTTTCTTTTGTGGATTCAGTGAGGGGCCTAATAACTCAAAGAATGGATTAGTTCAAATAGGCTAAGATCTGACTGTTCATGCCTGTGGCCTAAAACTTGGAGTTAGTAACAAAATCTTCTCCAATTATTAATATGAAATAATGAATTCCAGGTATTTGGACAGGTAAATGTTTTCTCTTTTGCAAGCTTCACTACAAGCATCAGTTTCATGTCTCCTAACTGGATTTTAAGCTTCCATAGTGTGTGAAGCATCGGCAAACATTTCTTCTGGTCCTCATGAGCTCATCCTAGGCACAAAGCAAGCACCAGAAAGCACCAGATCACCAGACAAGAGACTGGATGAATGGATGGATGATGACAGCACAGTCACTCCACCTACTGCTTTCTCTTGGGATCTTTTTATAGGTTGATTCAGCTGCTACTTCTAAAGACATATCAAAAAGCACTGCAGCTGGACAGAAGAAATAATGCTTGAAAAATTTACAGAGAGAGTTTCAGCTAAGGAAAAATCAGGTAAAATAATCATATGCACTTCCTAGCACTACAGTCTAAATTTAAATTCTAGAGAGGCTGAATTGCATTGCTTAAATCTGGGACTATACATAATCTGAACCATTATTACAATAGTTGCATGGGAGTCAGGGAGCCTGGGATAAAACGCAGCCCCTCAGCCCATCAAATGGCAAAAGAAGAGCATGAACCCTGACCTCAAGTAAAGAAGAACTAGCCCTTATCTGGGAAGAATCCATGCAGATCCTATAGAATTAGATATTTTAGAATGAAACATAATGTCTTAGGACTGACGCTCAGGGACTCACATTCTGAGCTGTTGGTTACTGATTATCTACACAGAAAATAATGTGATTTACCATATGGTACGGATAGGCTCTGGATCACCCTAATCATTGACCTGAGCTTTGAAGGTCAAAGCCCACTGTGATGGTTAACTATATGTGTCAACTTGGCTAGACTGTGGTGCCTAGTTGTGTGATCAAACACCAGCATAGATATTGCTGTGAAGATATTTAGGTGTGATTAACAGTTAAATCAAGAGACTCTGAGGAAAGCATACTACCTCACACAACGTGAGTGGGCCTTGTCCAATCAGTTGAAGGCTTTAATAGCAAACACTGAGGTTTCCCAAGAAGAAGCAATTCTGCCTCAAAGACTGCACTGTGTTAATAGAAACAGTGCCTGGATTCCCAGCTTTCTGGCCTGCCCCAAGGATTCTGGACTCAAGTCTGCAACATTAACCCTTACTTGCCTGCCAATCTGTCCTATAGATTTTGTGGAGGCTGGTAAGTCTGAAAAGAGTCTCTACAATCATATAAACCAGTTCCTTGAAATCAGTCTTTCTCCCTCTCTCTCCATATGTGTGTGTATGTATATATATATATATATATATATATATATATGACATATATACAAATGTATGTCTTTGGTTCTGTTTCTCTGGAGAACTCTAATGCAACCATGAAACCTGGTAAGCCCAGGGTCTCCACTCAGAATATAGGTGACTCTTAAAACTTTGGTGGCTAAAAGTATGCAGGCATTTCTCATAGGCTGGTGACACAGAAGTGCTAACTTTTGCATCCACTGGTGGATGCAATGTTTTTAAAAAGCACATCATTTTGAAATGTTTCATCACTATGACTACTACCATCATTACCACCAACATCAAGCTATTGTATTTTATAACACTCAAGTCTTAAAATTGGCTGGGAAAAAGGAATTGAAGCCTACTCTTTCTTAAAAGCAAATATCACATATATAATTATTTTCAGATGACTAGAAATTGTTTCTGCCGAAAATTATATTTGTGTTCCTTGCCCTATACTTCCAAAGATAATTTACTTGGGAAATGCTATGTTCCTAATTTAGTTGTGAAGGCCATAGGAAAATAAAGGGAGAGCGACATTTACAGTGGCATGGTGATTTGTTATTGTACAATCATCAGGTCTGTTAATACGCCAATGGCTATAGTTTTCATATCGTCCCAAGTGATCTCTATGCTTCAATTACCTGATCTCTATGCTTCAATTACCTTCTAGAACTAGTAACAAATCAGAGGGCTAAAATGACCCATACCCCTTCTAGTTCTCTCTGGCTCCTTTTTGCTGGTAAAGTGAGCTTCTTGAGAAAAGCTATGTTTCCAATGCATAGCAGACTGTCGTCCTTACTGTTATCCTCATTTTTTAAACATGAGAAAATATTTTCAAAAGGATTAAATGATTTGTCTGAGGCTATAAGATAACATACCAAATCAGACACAGGATTATAATAGAATTTCTGACTCCCTGGTGTAAGAATCTATAATATCTTGGGCAATGTAGTCTTTGTTTCTGCCTTAAGTTAAAAGTTCAAAAAAATTTATTTGTCATATTTATCATTCTAGACATATCTAATTGTTAATATCAAAAGCAATGCTTCCCCCCCCAACTTACCACAACACTCTGGATAGTACAGCACAGACAGTAAATACTCAAATGATGTTAACACACTGATCGGTGTTTGACAAATAGCAAGTTTGGCAATTAAGAAAGAATCATACCATATTAAAGTTGCTGGCAAAAGACAACTAAGCACCATGGGAAGCACAACCATGAGCTATGCATCTCTGTGGACTACATGTAAATAACTCACATAAAATAGTTCACCAACAGTACACCCACCCAGTTCCTAGCATGACTGATTCAAGCAGAATGCACACCAGTAACAGTAAAAACAAGGAAAATAACATAGTAATACTATGGTCTAGCAATTCAACTCCAAAACACGGAGATACACTCAGACATGAATATAAAAGAGGCACAGTGAGAATGTCTATTGATTGGTATTAGCAAGAAACTAGAAAACAATGCTCATATCTATTGAGAAGGATAAATATCTAAATTATAGTATTCTTGACATTTGCAGGAAAACC